TTCATAAGGAAAAGTCTTGAGCCCTCAGCTCTAGGTGAGAAGAATTATTTTCTTCTCTGATGATGAAGTATAACAACAGCTTGTTGTTTCTTATCCCCTCCTTTTCATCATCACACCCCATTGAGAACCTTCTTCTTCACTCCTAGCTCTCTCTAGCCATATGTTTGTCTTTCCTCCTTCCTCTTTTGAGTGTTCTTGTTCCTTATTGTATTGAAGTAAAAGGTAGTTGTCCTGGGCAATGCAGAGGTTTCTGTTTAATTCTTGCCATTTGTCATTTCTATTTTAATAATGTTTCCTGGTCTTGGTGATCAGGTCTTGGTGATAGTTTTGTAATGATAACAGCAGCCCTTTATGATGTACTTACCATGTGCCAGGTGCTGTGCAGAGTCCACTACTTGCATTTTCCCATTTAATTTAGACATTCTGTAAGGTGTAGGTATTATTTTTATTTTCATTTGAATGCAGGTCTAAGTCCAAAGCTTGTACTTGACACCATGCACTACAGTAATATCAAACAGGAGCTGATATTGAGGGGCAGCATGAAGGAGTTGAAGCAGCACAAGTAGATTCAGGAAACCTAAATTTCAGTCTCAACCCTGTCTTTATAGTCCTTCTGAAACTTAGAGGATTTGCTTCTAGAGCACCAGGATTGCCTCCATTTTTCCACCAGAGGCAATTATGCAGACAAACGACGCAGCTTTTGTCTACAGTACTGCGCAGCCACAAAGCACATGTGGGCACTGGCGTGGCATTCCACAGAACAGCCTGTTTGTCTGGAGGGTGGTGGGGGTGAGGGCTGTGGTGTACCCTGTGGCTGGTCCCCAAAACACCCGGGCCCTACCAGTCATAGGTACAGAGGATACCTTCTCTACAGGGTTGGGACGATTAATTAAGGATTTAGGATGGTGTCTGGCACTTAATAGGCACTCAGTATGTGCTGGTTCTCATTGTCCTTCTGGAAGAATTTTAGTTAATGGGTATTCAAGCCAGTAGAATCCTGTTCTTTTAGCTCCACTTGAATCTAGGCTCAGTGTTCAGGAGAAGACACAAGAGGCATCTTGGTGTTGGCCCCTGTCCAATCCTGTGAATCATACCAACTCTCATAAGTTTGAGTTCAGAGAGGACTGGAATTTGAGGCCAAAGAAGGCAAAATATTTCCCCTTCACATTCTTGCTAAGTTCTTGAGTTCTTGATGTAATGGAAACAAATAGTCCTGGGTTCAAATTTAGACTCTACACTTGCCTGCTCAAATTACCTCCGTGTTTTCATCATGGAAAGAACTTGGCCTGTAGAGAAGGGTAAACCTGAGTTCAAAACCTCAGCTCTGCCAGTTAATGGCCATTTTACTTGGTCAGTCACTTATCCTTTCTGAGGCCGTCTCCTTACCTGTAAGTGGGGGCAACAGCAGTTCTTCAGGCTGGCGAGGATTAGACAGTAATGCATTAGGTCTGATCAGGATGTCATGGCGGCAGCAGCAGCGGCGGTGGCAGCAAAAGCGGCAGCGACTGAAAGATCTGGAGCTCGTTCACATAAGCCATCCATTCATTCAGGGTTCTGGTAATTTAAGTTGAGCAAGTGGTCCCACGTGTGATTTATTTATCCTTCTCCCTCCCCAGCAGGAAGGCAGCCAGGTGAGGCAGCCGCACGTGCCCTGCCCACAGGTCAGAGCAGGTATGGGGGAAGAGGCTTGTTACACAGCGGAGGTGCCAAGTACCACCTAAACCAGCCCCACTGTCTTCCACCGCCGAAGTCCCTGGCGTCCAACAGTGTTGTTTCAGCTGCTGGTAGTTAATGCTTCTTTACTTGGAAACGTTTTCAGCTCCTGGGAGCAATATGGTGCCTCGAGGGCTCCCTTGTACCCCTGAGACTGGGATTTGCATGCACCCGACCCGCAGCCCAATTTGCCATCCTTCAAGGCTCACCAGGCTGTGGGCGGGTGGGGTGGAGGGTGGCGCTGAGAGCGGGGAACTTTTCCGGGAAGGGGCCCAGCAGGATCCTGGCTGGCTGCCCTGTTAGCTATGGCCCAGGACCCCAGGGTGGGAGAGTGAACGGAAAGGTACGCGTGCCTGGAGCGGCTGCAAATCCTCCGTCGTGAGGAAGAAACTGAGCTCAGAGACACTGGGTCTAAGGGCCTCTCCCCGGCCCTCCTTTAAGGTGCTGGGGCCTAAAGGGGGTCCAGTTGCAGTGCGGAAGGCTGGGAACTAGGAAGCTTTGGGCCAGACACCCCGCCTTCCCGGTCTCCCGCGGGGGGGGGG